AGTCTGGTCCAGAGAGGCAGGAAGCAGTCTGGTCCAGAGAAGCAGGAAGTAGTCTGGTCCAGTGGGTTCTCACATACGTTCCTCTAACGTTCACCCAGCACGTCCTCAGAGGCTTGGGCTGCTCTGAGGGCTCCTGCTGTTGGTTTTATTTCTGTTTTGTGCTGCTTTGAATTATTTGAATGTTTCTGATTTGTCTGCGTTGCTCTTCCAGTGATTGCCCCCTACTTTATTCCACCAGTTGGCTAAAAATGAACCACGTCACTGATGCTGTAACTGAAACAGTTGCCTCCATCGGGGCACGAGCACTGAACCACAGGCAGTTTGCTGCACTTGTGGAGGAGCATGAGGCTGAACACAGTGACACCGGGTAGCACAGCTGTCAGATGGCTCAGCCTGGGCAGAATGCTACAAAGAAGGCAAGAAGGCAAGAAGGCAAGAAGGCAAGCGCCTCTTCGTTCATGACATGCACGGCCTGCTGAAGGCTGTCATGAGAAAGACCCTGAAAGAAGTCACACCATCAGCTGATCACCTCTGCAGGTACTCATCCATGCTGGGAGCACTGCATGGGGAGTTTCCAAGGCCATCTGAAGATCTCAGATCAGTCGCTTTCCTCTCCTGTTACCTGCAGTGTGGATGATGCACCCGGTGATGTCCAGCTGGAGCTCACTGACCTGCAGTCTGATGCAGGACTAGCAGAGCACTTTAAGTCCACATCACTGCTGGATTTTTACTCTTCTCTCAAGGAGGAGAACTTTCCAGACATGAGGAGACATGCTCAGAAGATGTTGGTTCTCTTTGGATGTGAACAAACATTCTCAGTGATGAAGTTCACCACATCCAGGTGCAGATCCTCCCTCACTGATGCTCATCTGTCAGCTGTGCTTCTCCACCTCAGACCTTCATCCTGAGTCTGATGAACTTGTGAAAGCCCACCAGAGAGCAGAACAAGTCACCGAATGAGGTGGTTAGACTACAGATGTCGGCGTTTAAAGGCACCAGCTGGCAGTGAACTGGGACACGCTGTCTGGAATCAATCATTATTATCATATGATGAATCTTGCTTAATATTTGGAGTCCAAAGACAACATCATGTCTCTATAAAGCTAAGAATCTCTGTCCAACACTACATGAAACTCAAAATGTGTTTTAAGGTGAATGTGACTGAAAATGATCACTGATGTAAAAAAGTCACAAATGGCAGAAACGTTCATGTTTTGTTTCTTGTTGTTTTGGGAAATTTGTTTGAATAAATGACATGTTTTGCAAGACAGCCTCCCGTTTCCATCGCTTCATCGCTACATGTTCTCCGACCAGTCTGACAAGCTCGTCACAGCAACGCATTCACTGCTTTATAAAGAAATCAAATTAATATCATGCAGGACTGAGTTCAGCCTGTTGGTCCGGCCCTTCATAATTACCCCCCTGGTCTGATCTGACCTTCAGATGAAGCTCTGATGGAGGAAAACACTGAACGTAGCAGCTACAGGTTCTACAGGTCCTCGCTGCCTGTTCGTGGTCACGTTGTTGTTACAGTCCATGGAACCAGGTGGTGTCACCTGGACGTCAGCGCTGTGTCACACTGACACCTGCTGGCCGAGTCACAGCACTGCAAGGACGCGCTGCTTCAATAAAAAGATGAAATGACAGTGAAACGAACGTGTGGTGCCTCTCTGTGGACGTTCTGCCTCAGTGTTGTGTGTTTATTGTGCTTCCACATGTTGTGTGTTTCCTCACTGCCTCTCTGTGGTTGTATTTTGTCTCTTTTACATAATTTTGTGTTTTTTTGTGTCTCTTTCATTCATTTCCAGACGTCCCACGTTAACCTGCCCATCAGGGCTCCTGGTCAAGTGAAGCGTGATGGTACCTGCCGACGCTGTGAGCCGTCACCAGGTGCAGCAGCTCGCAGGTTCTGGTTCGGACCGACGCGTCTTCATCCGTCAACAGAGCCGGCAGCTGCTCCAGAAAGCCTGCAGGAGAAGACGAGAAGTTTAAGCACCGGCAGCATAAAACGGGTCAACAAGCCTCCTTCAGAACAACCCGTGGTTTCTTTGACATATCTTTATTTGGGATATCAGGATAGCATGTGCTCAGTATCACAGTCAGAGGTAAAAACACAGGCCCAGCACAGTTAGGGTTAGTGTTCTGAGTTTATGAAGCTAAACGGCTCATTTTGATCAATACGAACTAACATTCACGCATCAGAAAGTTAGCTTAAAACTGTAAACATGCTATTTTATTATCATCATCATCATTATTATTATTTTAAATTGCTCCTATTTTACATAAATGTTGGACAACTCATGCAGAAATTATTTTTTAATGGTTCTTAAAATGTTTGATTATTTTTTAATAAATTCTGAATTGATGAGCTAAAACAATTCCCATTTAGACAAACGTCTCTGTGACTTTATGATGACTGATATTTACATTAATGACAGTAGAATCATTTTAAATCAGCACAGCAGCTTCCAAAAAGCCAAAAAGCTAAGCTAAGAAGCTAATGCTACAGTAAGTTATTATGGCCGGATGTTATGAGCTGAATGTTAAGTCAGCTA